GATGCTGATATTGGAGTTTAGTTTGTTGAGAAACACAGCTTGTGGCACTAACTTTTTTAAGGATTTTTCTCTTGCTGATGTTTTTTGTTTGCTGCAGCTTTTCTGTGTATAGGACGCTTCAGTCAATGTTTACGTCTGGTATTTCATATAGCCCATTTTTAGTATGCTGAACCAGTACAAAGACAATCAAGATGATTTCTGGCCCAGTTCCCCCCTCCTGACTAAACTAAGGCTGACTCAACACTAGACGATTGTTACTGTTGCTGCACACCTGATTTCTCTCTCCTTGATTCTCCCTCCCTCCTTCGCCTGCTGCACACCTGAATGAATCTGTGTTCAGGGAGGAGGAGGGGTATGTAGAGGACCCGGGTATGGAGCGATTCTGGTTAGCAACGTGGTGAGGAGTTCTTTTTGTTCCTTATATTCTCTGTCTAGGTTTCTGTTTTTCCCCATATGTCAAGATTGTTGGGTTTTCTTATTTTAGTTTGAGCTGGAGATCAAGTAGTCTTATTGTAGGTCTTTTTAGGTGAATCTTTTCTTCTTTGGTAGTTTTAGAGGGAGGTGCTGGGAGGGATGTCCCATTATATGGTCCAATCTTTTTGTTGTTTTTTGGCTTTTGTGTCTTTGATTTCTATTTTTTCTTTGATTAATTTGGGGGAATCATGTTCAATAACGCTCTGGAGTAAAATTTAAATCAGTATGTAGCCTTCCATGTTTTGACCTTGATTTAGTTATTTTGGTTGAGGAGGCTGTTACAATGATTTTTAAAACAAGAGGACTGTTCCACCATATTTTAACATCCCACACTAGAAGACACACACTAGACCTTACAGCCAGACATAACAGAACACACACTTGCTGTTTGAGGCGATTCCACAGACTTGAGATCTCACAGAAACTCGTGAGATCAAACGTGACTTTAGAAGAAAAACAAATAGGGAGTATAGGATCAACGTTGTCAGCTGGTATGTCTTTCATGAGACGTTATAAAGGCACTCATGTTGTTGCCGAAATTTACAAGCTTGTCTACGTTTTTTAAGATTCCATTTGGCTCGGGGCACAGTAGTGTTTATTTTCACTGCTGTGTGTGTGAGCTGTAAAAGTACACTCACTCTCATTGACTGTTGCTGGTATTCTGTCAGAAACAGTTTGATATTTATGTTTTCAGATCAGGGAGGTTCGACTCGATTGGGAGCAGTAACACCACAAACTTCAATCAATGAATCAAACTTTATTTATATAGCACCTTTCAGACAAATTAAATTGCAGTCCAAAGTGCTTTACAAAAGTCCAGTTATTGAAGAAAAATGAGTTTATAAAATCATTGAGGATTATTTTGAAAAATACAGAATAATAAATAATTGGTTTCGACAAGCCTCAAATGGTTTCACGCCCCCCTGATTGTTGGGGTGAGAAAATCAGTCCTCAAATCGTGTGGTGTGTAGCCAGTTCAAGCAAAGTTTTGTTTTTGTGATGGTTTTGGAGATTATCTTGCCAGATTTTCCTTTGCTGTGAGGTGTGTTATGAGTGATGTAATCTGCAGAGATGAATGATTGGGCTGCACCAATTTCAAATAGTAAAAACTAAACATGTTCAATATATCAAAGATCTGTTATCCTGAGGACAGCCAAGCAGGCCCCTCTGTGGATTGTCGTGTTGAACAAAACGATAGCCATTAGCCAATTGGGAAGCGGGCTGACTGAAGGAGAAAACACAACAACCACAGCGAACCAATTTATACTCACCGCTAATTCTTACCGTCCTCGATGTTTGTTTATTTTAAAGTCGACTTTGACAGATTTTGTGAGATTTGGAGCTTTGAGAGTCTGGTTGGTGAATTTAATTTGTTAGTGTGGTGGTGTGTTGGTTATATCGTTCATCTCCACACTCGAAACTGGAACGAAACTGTTAATCTATCACTAATTGTTGTCATGTGTGGGCTCTCACATTGTCAACATCTGTTAAGATATTTCAAAAACTCTTCAGTGTGGGAGTTTTAATCCCTTTGTGTTTGCATTCTGTGCCTATGTCTGGACACTGAGGTTTTTAATCTAAGCAAAGAACAATGTTTTTTCTGTAGACCTTTTCTGGGATTTTGCTTATATCATAAATGTATAACACACTATTCCTACTTCCCAATTAAGATAAAAAAAATTATGTATTTGACAGACCAACATTAAATCAATAAAGCACAATACTATTATTTTTTTAAATCAAATAAAAACCTTTTTTTAAAACTGAGGAACACTTCATAAATTAATATTCAGGCGAACAACAATGTGCAGATATTATTTCAAGTACAGCTGATCCTCGTCATGTTTTCATTTGAAAATGGTTAAAACACGATTACAAAGATGTTACAAAGATTACATTTTAAAGGAAGAAAATATTTATGCTCATACAGCAGTGGATAACTATCATTACTCACGCTGGTTGGGGAACTTCTCCACACACATCTTCCTCCCCGGGGTGCTGATGATGTCATCGTGCAGGTGCAGCAGTGAGGACTTAACCACTAATGACGGCCTGTCGGGGCCTGAACATCTCTAATTGGTCCGTGTCATTACGAGGCCGCCTTGTCTTTGACTCATTCCTCCATTGTTCTGTGGTGTGTTTCCGTACTAATAACACATTTCTTTTGAGCAACAGTTGCTCTTCCCTGCTGCTTTTAGATCTTCGGGGATGAAGAAGTGTTAATAGCATGGCATTAAAGCAGAGGCAGGCTACAGTTAGCAGAGGCTCAGACTTTGATGTAAGGGATTTTAGAGACACTAAGACCCGGCTCCAGCAGGCATTACCTTCCATGGATGAAGTGATGAAGTGTCGAAAGGTGCCGAGATATTGTCCATACGGGGTTCCAGCCACTGAAATCAGGTGACCTTTCACCTTTCCCTTTATGTCACCGCTCATTTGTGAGGCTTCGTCGGGCTTTGAACTCCATCTTGTTTGTTTTCAGGAACAGTTTTTTTCAGGCGGTGGATGCTTTTATGGTGTCAGAATGTGAGGTCCATTCAAACAACTATTTTGTTTCTGTGACAAAAACATCGCCTCCAAATTTTGAGCAATTTTTTTTACATCATGGGAAGGTAATGAGAAGGCGAGTTTTCTCATTTAATTGCCCATATAATCTGTTTTATGGACGATAACATGGCTGCCACTGATGGCTGATTATTGACGCACTTATTGGCTTGAAAAGTTATTTTGATCACACACTGTGGGAGCACTTCTGTTTCCTTTCATTATTACAACTTGTGAGGTTAAGTCAATGTAGATTAAAACCTGCAGTTCCTCGAGTGTCCTCTTGAGGCTTGCTCCAAAACGGAGCGAGTCCCCATTAGATCCTGTATTAAAATGCAGCAGAACTGAACATGTTTAGAGCCTGGTTCAGAAATACGTTTGGTCTCTGATTTCTTTTATAATTAAAACCTCAATGGAGGGGGGATTATTATAACACTTCAGAGTGTTTGGGGTTCTTGTTTTGATTTCAGTCCAGTGCTCAAGGGCAACTGGACAGTACTCAGGAACCAGACCAAATCCGACCAATTTACAGACTTTGGTCCGTAATGGGACTTGAACCGGCGACCGTCCGGTTGCAACTAAAGCCTCTGCAGACTTATCTACTGTCGCATGAGGAAACAAGAGAAATCTGGAAAAGAATCGAGTCTAAAGTCAAGTAGGAGGAGACTTTTGAGCAGAATATGTTTGACTTTTCTTTTTTTAGAAAGTCGGCTTATGAAGGAGAGGATTTAATTTTCATCATGTGATTTTTTTTTTTTTTTTTAGGATTAGGGTTACTTCTGCAAACATGTCTGCAGGGGATGTTTAGTTAAAGGAGGAAAAGCAAGTATTTGAACACAGGCACAAACCACATCCTTTAAAAGTGGCCAAAGCCAATTAGTTTGACTTAAGTTCTCGAGAAAATCGCATTTAATTTATTAAAATTGCTGAAGGAAATTAAATATATTGAGTCTTGGGGTTTACTGTATCTCTTTCAGCTTTAGACCACGTTTATTGAGGTTAAGCATGTTTTAATTGAGATCAAGCTATGAAATAATTTTGTCCTGAGGCAGAAAGACGGAGAGGAGAGGCTATGAAAAAAAAAAGAGATTTTGGATTCATATTGGAACAATTTCTGCATTTCTGCAACTTTAACCACCTTCGGTCAGAGGCAGCCATGTTTGTTTGAACAAAGACACAAAATAGATTTTACAGTCTGCTTCGTCTTTAAAACCCGCGTGTGTGTGTGCATGTGTGTCTGTTGATTAAAAGTGCAATTTATGAGGTTGATGTGCTGAGTAAAGGAGTTCTCCACTGGACACCAAGAGAGCATTACCACTACCTGCTTTAACACACACACACACACGTGCACACACACATGCACACACACAGTCTGCTGAGTCCACTTTCTCCTCTCTCCACATCCACCCAAACACACTCTCATACCAAGATGAATTTTTTTCTGCCGCCTCGTGCGTTTCTCATTTCCATCCCTTTGACGTTTATATTGAAGATAAATTGTAGACTGTGTAAGAGGGAACATATTCATTCAGCTGTTGCTTTAATTGCATCAGGGATTTAGACGCACTCTCCTGTCCAATTTGCTCGTACAATTCTCTGCGAAAGCCCTCAGCCTGCCCCTAATCTGCAAACCAAGCAAAGTGTGTGTGTGTTTTTTTCCCACAACTCTTTTCTTTAAAGACACTGGATTTATATTGGGATTAATAGAATGGGAGAGATGTGGCAACACTCAAACACTCCAGCTCTATCACTGAATTCAATTTAGCTTATTTTTTCGGCTTCTCTCACATCACCCCGAGCACGCCTGAGTGCTTCTTCTGTTTCTGCAAAGCCCCTCAATTTCTTCACTTCCCCCCTTTTAATCAGCCTCCTCTTCTCTGTTTGTTGGGCATCTCTCTCGCTCTCTCTCTCTCTCTCTCTCTCTCAGACACACACACACTCTTTTAACTTTTCTGTAAATTCACTCTGCAGGAGATTTGATGTGACATAACACTTTTTATTAATTACATTGTATCACGACAGACTGGTCCAGGTTCAGAGAGAAATCATATCATCATCATCATGACTCACTTCCACCACTCGACTATATGACTGTACATGTCCCTCTGGTGTGTGTGTGCATGTGTGTGTGTGTGTGTGTGTGTGTGTGTGTGTGTGTTTATACAAGCTGAGCACTTTTTTTGCTTCATTTCCAGCTTTTAATTACCTTGTGTGCTTTGCAATACAGATGGTTCTTACATTTTTAGGCATTAAATGACATTGAAACATCTCTTTCATACACATTTTGTCCTGTGTCCCATCTGAGGCCTTTCACAATCCAAACATTGACAACACATCCACTTAAATCCTTCTTTTTCTACGACCATGGCAGCAACAAAACCCCTCTTTAACACAGAGACAAACAGCACAGAACCAATTACTGAATAACAGAAATACTGCATATAGCAAGTCACAGTTTTCACTTTTTTTTTGCAGAGAAGCACTTTTTTGTGGTTTTACATTCTTCAAGGCGCAGCGGCTCCAGAAGCATCCGAGCACAAAGGTAATCTGAAAGATGACCTTTATGATTCTTCAGCTTTATTAGCTCAGACTGTGATGTGTGAGAGAGAAGGGATTAAACGTGATATGGATCATGACACGCTCAAAGTCCTGATCTGAATCTGAGTGTGGATTGGCTTCAATTCACTGAGTCGCAAAGTTCAACTTTACTCAGCCCCCGATATTTTAGGTTATGATGAGGCGATAAGAAAACAGAAACTATCTGTTGATATTGCTGAAATACTTTTTCAGGGGAACGAAAGGTTCAGTAGGTTGTGTCGAGAAGGAGGCTGATTTGGAAACATAAATAAATCAATTGAGTGATTCCATAAATCTTAGCTGCCATAATACCGACCTCAGCGGGTAAAGTCATTTGTCATGAATTGGTGAACGGCGACAACAAATCAATGCCTGATTCCTCCGTTGAATGTTATTTGAACTTGGATTTGGGTGGGGTCTGAATCCCTCCTGACTCACTGCAGCATCAATCAGCCTTCTCCACACACACACATATACACACACATACACCACAGAGAGAACTGCTCTGCACCCGGTGGGCAGCTGAATGTCATTTTGTTTAATTCATCGTTATCACACTGCGACTATTTTCCTCTGATTTTAACGTTTTAGGGCAGGGACCAGAAATGAGGCTACAATTTAAAACTGCTTTGTTCCAGGTTGCAACGTGTATAAACGTTGAGAATCCAATAAATGATCACTCCATCCTGATTGATCAGCAACTGGAAGATACATTTAATAAAAAGTCAGGAGGGACATCAGGACATGTTTGAAGTTAAAACATCATATTTGAAATAAGCTCGTGTTAGAGTCTGCATGACATTAAAAACACATTCTCATGCTTGAAATCAAGTGGCAACCCTCAAATGTTGAAAAATGAAGCCAATGCAGAAGTGCAAAAAACCTGCAGTTCCTTGAGTGTCCACTTGAGGCTGGCTCCATGGGGATTTTAAAGAAGGGCTAGCATTTTAATTTGAAAGTACCGTGATAAAGTTATGACATGTTAGCTAATATTTTATGTTGATAAGCTTTTAAACACATTTGCTAATATCTTCTTACTCATTAGTTAATTTTGGATAATGCACCAAAGTAAACAAGCGCTAACGATCAAACACTCACTAGCTAACATTTTAATTTGATAGTGCAGTTGAGAGGTATAATGTTTGATATTAGCAAAGGTTTAGCTTTAAAGCATTATATTTTCTAATTAATTTTTGATAACCAAGCTAGTGTCAAACACAAGCTACCATTTTGCCACTCCCTGGGTAAGGTTTGACTTATTAACTTGTAATTTATATGAGCAAATGATTAGCTTGAACACATATTGTTTGCTAACTTATTAGCTAACATTTGATATATCACCAAATATAAATCGAGCTAACATCCAGCCGGTTATTTTTGCTAACAAACTCATTTGAGAGTGATGAAGGAAAGGTAAAGCAAACAATTAGCTGAAACAAAAGCTAATATTAGCTAACAGTTTATATTAGATAACTCAACTAGCTATAGTGTTAAACAAGCTCTTGCAGTATTAGCACATATTAGCTTTAAAACTAGGTATGCTATGCCAACATGTGAACCTGCCATAAAGCTCAATAACTAGAGAGGTGTACATTTGTAGCGTAAGCGTTAGCAAGAAATGTAGGCGATGTTTTTTCTGATAAGACAACCAGTTAACCAGATAGAGGAAAAATGCTAACGTTAGCTGTCATCTTTTGTAAGCTATTGAGGTAAAAAACAACAACATATGGCCTGATGTCTCTATTAATTTAATTTGTGTAAATAATTTTTTAACAATTTGTTTGCAACCTGAAATAAAGCAACAGAAGAGCATTTTATCTTTCCACCCTGAGCCAAGCCGTCAGAGGAAAATGGCCGCCGTTTGCTTACAGTCACTTGTGAGTCCCATATAGCTTTCCCCATTTTCTCTGCCCCTCCACTTCTAAGACAAAAGAAGAAAAAGAAAAGTACAATCTAATTACCGACACGGTCTCTGACACGGCATTTTGTGGCGCTCAATTCTTTCAGCAGCTTATTCACATTTGTACATTTGTGTTTTTGTTCATTCCTCTCGCTGTTATTTCATTTTACAAAAAAGAAAATCAAGAAAAAAGTAGCACTTTTTAGAGACCAAAGTTTAAGACTATCACGTACAGTATAGGCAGCATAGAAGAGGAAAGTTGGTTGAGTAAGTCTACTTTACAGTAGGTCACTTGAAGAAGAGAGAGAACGAGAAAAGTCTGTGATTGTCAGTCCCTCCTTGTCCGAGGTGTCCGTTCATTACGACAGTTTTTCCTTTGTTTTTTTTATTTTCCATTTCATTATTTGACTGTTATCTTTGATCTGAGGCATCGAAGCGAAGACAGCCAACACTTCGGGTGGAGCAGAACTAAAGTTTCACAGATCTCTCCTGCGTTGTGCTGACAAGTCTTCATCAAAACAAACAGTGTCTCACACATCGTCTTCCTGTGAGAAGTCCCCTCAGTTCATTATTACAAAAAAAAACAACAACACAGCAGGTATGTACACACACAGTGCAGCCAGCTGGCATGTTGCTTCAAACCTTTTTTTGACTTTGTGTCTCGCCTTTCATCTCCAGCTAACACACACCCTTGCCCTCTGTTATTGCACAGAGTCAGTGTTTGTAAGTTTTTGAATCCCGTCGAGTGCAGCGCTCGTTCTACTCGACTGTACAGCAGGGATGGATTCTGAGGAGCTTGTTAGCTCTTCTTGTGGGATGCTACGACCATTAACCCTCACATTCATGCTCTGCAGGAGACGATTCTTTTTTTTTTTTTTGCAATATTTGCCAAATGTAATCTGCACACTTGTGTGAAACATCAATCCTTGCTGTAGAGTCCTCTGAACACAAGGACGGGTCAGGTAGCTCAAAGAGGGAGACGTAAAAATACACTCGAGATTATCTTACACATTTGCTCAAACACAATCAAATTAAAAAGTGACCGTTATCAGTCAGTTTTTGCGGTTGCAAAAGGCAACTGTAGATATAGAAAGAAATGTACAAAAATGCTTCTTAATTTATAAATAATAATACTATAGAAATCAATAAAACCAACATTTTCAAGTTCACAAACATCGATACCATCAAGTGCTGTTGTCAAGAAACGTAAAGCCTTCCAGATGGATGTTTTCTTTTTTTTTTTAAATAAAATGGCTGTTAGTGAAACCTCAGGGGGGGGGTCGCGTTTGAACGAGTAAAATAAGCTCCAAACAAACGTTAAACGTGTTTCCTTGCATGCACGTGAGCCGCTGTTTATATACAGTATGTCGGTGAGAGCAGATATGTGAGCTGTACTGTAAGTGAGTGAAGTGGTTCTCAGTAATGGCGCTGTGTGGTGCATTATTGAGTTTATTTTTTTTTTAGTGTAAGCTGTTGAGTGAAAATGTGTTTGTGTGCGGTTGACGTTGAACACAGGAATGTGATGGGAGTGTGTGAGGTTGAAGCTGTGGCTCACAGGACATGTAATGATGGATGCTCACTTTCACTTTCTCCCCGAGGACTTTCACACCTCCTCTCCCTCTCCTCTATCTTCTCCTCCTTCGTCCGTTCCTACCTCTTCCTCGCCTCCTTTCTACCTCATCGCCTGCATTCGGGACTCTCTCTCCTTTCCTCTCCATTTCTTCCCCCAATATGCGTTATTACCTCTCCTCTCATTTCTCCTCTCTCCGCTGCTCCCACGTTCCTCCTCTCCTTCACCTCTCCTCTCCACCCCTCCATCCGTCCTTCTCAGCCATAAAACAATAAGTCTTGAATGTCTGTGAGGAGACTGTGCTAATGGAGCCCATTAGGCTGTAATGAAATATACATTACACCATTACAGTGGACGGGGGCCCCGGCTAAAGCACTGCACCGCTCAAATAATAAAACATGCACAATTCAATTTCCTTCTCGGACAGTTTTGAGTGTCTTTTAGCGTGCATGTGTGTGTGTGTGTGTGTGTGTGTGTGTGTGTGTGTGTGTGTGTGGGGAGATGGGGGGGGGGCGACTGGTAAGGTATACAGTGTGTGTTTGTGTGTTGTTATGTGTGTCCCCCCCCCGTCAAGCACACATGTGGTTTTCAAGGATGTCTGAGTGCTGAAAGCCTTGATGATTTAATACGGGTTGACCAAATGAACCACACCTTCAACAGCACCACTGCCCACACACCGCTGACCGAGACCTGACCACTCAAAAAAAACCCGGCCCGCCCCTCTACAACTTTTACTACCCCCCTCCGCCCCCTTCCTCCACCTTCTCCTCCTCTTCCTCCTTCAGCATCGTCAGACAGCTGCGTACAAATCAATCAATTGACCTCCGACATCAGTGCTTGACATCACAAGTGAAGCATCTGTCACTTTGGGAGGAGGCTGGATGGTGGTGGGGGGTAAAGTCATCATGTTACCATGAGCTGCATGTTTGAGGCCTGAGCAAAGTAAGAGTGTAACACCGAGCGGTTATGAGTGCATATATCCGTATAATCATGTGTGAGTCCGTTGCATGAGGAGATACTGAGTAGAGTCGGATAGTTCAATCTTCTTTTTTTTTTTTTTTTTTACATTTTTAGGATTTGCAATTGCGATGAAGTAAAACACCTCAGGTTTCATCCTGAATGCGACCGCAGAAGTTCAGCTCAGCTTCAAGCAGGCACTGTAAAGTTCCAGAAATTCTCTTTTTTTTCCGCCCTCACACACACAGAACATCAGACTGTGTTTGCTTTCCCCCTCATCTCTCCTCTTGTAGTCAGTGTACAGTTTGAATCATCCCCTTGTTTAGCTGAAGTAGGATGAATGCTGACAGTAATAAAGAAAGACAGACGGACAAACAGTCAAGACGGATAGGGTGATGGGGGGGGGACACAGTGTTGTCATGGCTCGACGCCGTCCGGAGCCATCTTCCCAATTAAACATCTCGCCGTCGTCCAGTCCCATATTTACACGCCAAACACTCACAGAAATCCTCTTGACTCCTCCTGTCGTCCGACGGGCAGCGAGGGATGAGTCACTACATATTTCAGGTTTTTATCAATTCAGCCCCAGTCAGTTTTTAAAGCATTCAAAAAAGAAAAAAAGAAAAGAGAGAGAGGCTTTTTTTCTCTCCCTCCTCTAAAGTTAAATCACTCTCAGTAAATGTTTCTCCAGGAAGGAAGGAGCGGGGAAGAAGAAGAAGAAGAAGGAGAAGCAGAGGTGCACAAAAGAGAGGAAACGGGTGAATGGGAGGAAGGAATGAGGCGGTTGAGGGGACGGGTTGAGGGATTTTTTTTTTTTGATTGCCTTTAAGAGTCTGGTAATACCTTCACATCCTGTACAGTGGTGCCTTGCATCACACACACATCTTGCATGAGCACACTTCATTCACAGGTGTCACCATGTCCACCCTTAAAAAGAACAAAAACACACACACACACACACATGCATGCACCCTTAAAATACTGTTACACACACACACACACACACACACACACACATCCAAAATCTCTCCCGGGTTTCAGCCGAGTATATCCAGGTACACAGGCGAGGCCTTGGCCAGGTTGAGGAGCAGACAGTGGATTTCTTTGATGTTGAGTCTCATGTGCGGCTCTCTCTGCCAGCAGCCCAGCATCAGGTCGTAGACTTCTTTAGGACAGGTCCTGGGGCGCTGCAGCACCCTGCCCTGCGTTATGCACTCTATCACCTACAGAGGAAGAAAGACAAAAAAACATTGAGTCTATAATCAGCAGCTTTTGTGACAAAAAACAAATGAGCGCATAAGAAAGAGAAAAGCTTCATCAAGTCAGCCTGAAGTGTTTAAACTGGGGCGCTGATGGAGCAGTGGTTAGTGCGCGCAGCCCATGTATGGAGGCTTTAGTCTTCCAAGCGGGCGGCCCAGGTTCAAATCCAGCCTGTGGCTCCTTTCCCGCATGTCATTCCCCTCTCTCTCTCTCTCTGATTTCCGGCTCTATCCACTGTTCTGTCTCTCCATTAAAGGCACAAAGCGACGATGACGGGAGGATCTCTCCCCGGGTGAAGTTCACTGCAGCGGCTTGCAGTGAAAATGTCACTGTGAATAAATGATTAACTGAGGTGATGAAGTTATTTTAAACACTGAAGTACGAGAACGAGATAATCAAATTCATCTGGAGCTGTGTGATTCTCGCATTAGATTTATTTATTCCAGTCACTAAAAGACACAGATTTTTCTCAGCTCAGTCCGCCCTCAAAGGATGAAGAGGATTTGTTAATCAAGCAAGAGGAAGCTTTTTTTTTAAACTACTCCGCACAGAAGAAGCTGTATTTCATTTACTATTTTCCTGGCAGCAGTTTTACCGTGAGGAGCCTTTGATACAATTAAGCTTATTATCATTTCCTCACACGGTTAATACACCGTGCTGTGTGCGAGGAGTGATTAGCAATAAAACGATGTCGATTAAGCTCCGAATACAGATTTTTTTTCTTCCCCAAAATGCAACATTTTCAAAAAGGGTTCCTGCAGATTATCAGTCAATGTCTCTGAATTATTAAGATGGATCTTGTAAGAGAGTAATCATTGTGCTTATCTAACATTCATCTCTTCTTTCCTTACTGCTGATTATCAGATTATGAGATACGGGTGTGTGATGGATTTCACATTTCAGTACAATTCATCCGTCTCCGGTGTAAAAGATACGTGAGGTTGGAGGTTAGAGGACTCTGAATAAACATAGATTTAATGTAAACGGGAAAGGAGTCTGTAGAAAAAGGTTAAAGGTTGAGTTGAAAGGGGGTCTGCTGACATGGACAGAGGGCTGTAACCGGAGTCGAGGGCGTCGTGTGGGTGAGGATGATGAAGGTGGAGGTGGAGGTGGAGGTGAAGGGTTGGAGGGCGCTGACATGCTGGACATTCTTTACGGAAACTGGGTCAAGACCCCGAGTGTAGTAAAGGGAAGATTTGTAAGAGTTATTAATAATTCAGAAGAACCAGACAATCCTTTACTTATTTATTGATTTGTTTACCTGCTTGTGTTTTTTTTTTTTGCTGATACAGAACATCTGCTTTTTTATCTCTTATTTTACTGAATAGACTACAAATTCACTTTTTACAGCTTAACATATAATAATAATAATAACAATAATAATTATAATAATAAAGGGATTTGGTGTCCTGCATGCCTGTAAACTCAGATAGATGGACAGGCACTTTGTTGTCGTTGTGTAAAAGCACACACTGAAACTCTGCTGGCAGCCCTCTCGTACAGTAGTGTTATAAATCTGGTCTCATATATAAGAAGAGCTCTGGGCCGCAGCGCCTGTGTCCGCCCGCCATCTTGGTTAGTCCACTGACAGAAATAATGACCCCTTTCATAATTATTCCCTCTTTTGTTTCTCCTTTACCGTTTTTTCCCCCCACACCAACAGTGCCAAATCATTTCTTACTTAAAAAGGACATATTATCCCCCCTTGTCTACCTTTTCAAACAGTCCCCCTGTGGTCTAAGTGAAACATCTGTGCTGTGCTTTGGTCAAAATATAACATGAATCAAGCACTCAGGTTACCCAAACATATGTTCAAATACACTGTACAAGTGGATTTTTCATAATGTGTCCTCTTTAAACTCTGTGTTGATACTGAATGATGTTTCCACTGAGTGAAATCTTCCAAAGAAACTCAGAAAGTTTTTTTTTTTTTTTTTAATGATATGATCATTTCAATATTCTTGATATGTTGGGCATCATTTTTTAGTATTTGCTGACTTTGGGATCTGCTTGATCTGGTGTAAAAATAGTTGTGGGCTTGTTTTGATTTACTGTCAGGCTGGTTAAGGGTGTCAGCCCTAATGTCAACAGCTGATGTCTTAATGACCTGTTATTGTTGCTATCTTTAATTGAGCAACATTTGCTGCATCCTGATCCTCCAATGTGCAGATTTTTCTTCTTTCCTCTTCTCACATTACGGTTCAGAAAATATTGGGATCACTTTGAATATACTGAGAAACACATCTTCAAAGTATACTTGAAATTGAAAGTGATGCTTCATTGAAGCTGTAGTCTTTAATATTTAAGATAATAAGGAAAGATAAGATAAACCTTATCTTCTGAGATTAAATTCATCCTGAGGGAAATTGCCTTGCAGCAGTTCAAAGAAGGAAAGAGTGTAAATATGAAAAGCAATAAAGACTGAATCAACATGTAAATAAGCTCAGATCCTAAATCTACAAAGAACAAAATATACAGGATGTCTAAAATATATATTTGTGTTTGATGTTTAGGAAATCCTCCTTTTAGCAGGTGTGTCACTTTACACTAAAAATGTGGCACTTTTTCTAAACTCATTTTAAAAGAGATTAAAAACTCCGCGCCGGTGGACTAGCGGTTAGTTTTTTGCGCGCAACATGTACAAAGGCTTAAGTCCTTGAAGGGGATGGACCATTACGACCTGTGGAACCAATCCCGCATGTCATTCCCCACTCTCATCACCACCGCCATCGGACTGTGTCGTCCCCTTAACCACCGGCGTCCTCGTTCACGCACGGCCTGCTCCGACCTCCACCTCAGCGGTGAGGAAGTGTGGACAACAGGAAGGTCATGAATACAAAGGAGAAATCCTTCCTGCATATTATCACATTATGCTCGTTTGTAAAGCGTCTCGAGATAACAGTTTTTATGAATGGCTGCTATACAAATAATGATTGATTGACTCTCTCTCTCTCTCTCTCTCTCACTCACCCTTATTTTTATGTATATCCACTTTCCTGTCTCTCCAATAAAGGCATAAATAGACCCAAAATAAATCTTTAAAAAATATATTTTCCTTTTGAAATGTGAGCCATATCGAGCTTCCCTGCTCAGTTTCAAACCTCACAATAAAACCAAGACATAATGGGATTATGCCGTCCTGGCGATGTAAACAAACTGAAGATAGGACTCTGAAAACTCTGAAAACATCACAGACAGTGGGACTCGGGTGTTACACCCATTGTAGACAGTCATGACTCACAGAGTTATTTTCAGAGGATATACTTGATTTCTATTACATTTAAGTGTGAAAAATCACAAATAAAGCCTTTAAGGCAAATTTAATGGACTAATGTTTCGACGCACTATGTTTTCTTCAGAGTCAAAACAGTTTCTATGGTTCCTGTCTTGAAGACGGTATCCACTGAATTGTATTTTTTGTATGTCTTGTAAGTCTTTCTCTGAGAGCTACGACCTCCATTCATGGAGTGGCTGAAGCGCCAGAGGTTATGGGACATGGCAGTGTTTTAAATTACGACTGAACGGAAAAGAAACGAGGCAGAAAAACTCCAGTCAGGTGTGGCACTGATCCATGCAGACCTGTTCAACTGGACTCATGTCTCCATCAGTGGAAATCTTTTAATCAGTTTAATGTGGATAATTACAGCTATTTTAGTTCATTTTGGGAATCTTGCTAGGTAATCTGTTGCTATGGACACAGCGCTAACTTTAGATTCCAATGGGCTATTTGTTTAAAATAGAAATAAATCTATATCAAGTTAGTGGTTAAAGGAAGTAGCCGTGTAATGTCGGCATCCAAAACCCATTAACTATACATCACCCCTAACATACTGTAATGTCCTTCCCTTAATGTTCACAGAAGCTCGTCTTGTCTCTGCGCTTGTGTCTGAGCTCAGTCGGAGGGAGTGAAATAAAAATCGATCAAGTTTAACATGAAGAATTTTTTCTTTTCACTGCACCTCGTTGTTGGAGAGCTGGTACCAGGGCTGTTTGCCGTAGGTGAAGATCTCCCACAGGACGACTCCTAGACTCCAAACATCGCTCTCTGTGGTGAACTTTCTGTACATGATGCTCTCAGGAGGCATCCAGCGGATTGGCAGCATGGTGTGACCTCCGACCTTCAAACACAACACACAAACAAACATGCACACACACACACAGAAAGAGAGAGAGAGAGAACAAAGTCAGTATGATGGAAGGTGAATGTGAGACAGATTTAAAGAGCTGCAAAGCATCCTCTGACACATATTTAAGCGTCTCCATTCAAATGATCCGTTCTTTTATTCTCTTAATCATTCATTCAAACAGTTTAAAGAAGCGCTGCGGACATTTCAGGCCTTCACACTGCAGCTCGAGGCATTGAACCTGTGACACGGTGGATTGCATCATCTCTCTTACTGTAACACACCTCACTGCTGATCGGTGTGTCATTTCATTTCACTGATGGATGAAAGAGATGTACGGCTTTATATTCATTCAGACAAAGAGGGGGAACGTACGCTGTTTGCCATTGAGCTCTAATTGAGCAAACTCATTAAATGGATCATTAAGTGGATGAATATTAAATATATTACGCTAATCACACACAACAATTAAAAGAAGGTGCTGGATCAGTTGTATTTATTTATTGTCCATTGGACTTTCTTACTTCTTAGTGTCTTTCTTATGTTGAATGCTGGCTGTATGCATTTATTTTACTGATGACTGCAAAACAAATTGCCCTCTCACTGTGGTAACAAAAACCAGTTAAACCAACATCAGGTGAATGATTTGGAATAATTTGGGATATATTCAAAATAGAGAAACTGCTTTACTCTCTGGGATCCAAAAAGACAAATTCTAACATAAACTCCTCAAAAAAATTTGGGAACGTTATTTCGGTCACTCGCTTCGTCCCGTTAATAAAACTAATTGGTGTTGTATTTTATATGGTTGGAAAGCCTGATTAGTCACCTTTACAATGAGGTATAACTTGTGAGGATTGTACATTTGTGGAATGAGAAACACAGCTAAATGTGTGGGTAGCGCCCCAAACAAATGTGCCAAAATCCCCTGCAATGTTCTAAGTGACCGAAATAACGTTTCCAAACTTTTTTTAGGAGTTTATTTAGAATAAGCGTAAAGGCCCTGACACACCAAGCAGCCTGCCCCTGATATCTGCCTGAGTTGCTCTTTCACACAGGTCCTTCACAGCAGGAGATTTCCTCTTTCTGACATGGGGGTGGGGAAGACATGATGCTGCGGGGATCACAGTGTAATAGTAACAACATATCAAAGATGTCTGACGTAGCAACAGGCTAAAATGACAGTGTTTGCCTTTACAGTACATCGGCGCTACATGGGATTGGACGTAGAAGAAAATGAGTTTGATGCAGCATCATTATGGTATGGAGCTATTATTGTGGCAAAACTATTTGAATATGCGTACACAGATCCATAAATGTGTAAAAAGATCCACAAATGCGTAAACTAATCTGCCTGTGAGCCTGAGCTAAGGGCAACAAACCCCACTAATGTGTTTGCAGATCGTCAGACACACATTTGAAGACATGTGTACGCATTTGTGGATCTTGCACGGCAGGAGTGTTGCAAAAAGTCACGTGTAAAATGCCAGCCAATGGAGAGGCAGTTGTAAACGATCATTTGTGTGTATTTTCAGGATTTACAGCTGAAAAAACTCACTGCCATTAATAAATAAGTAAATATTTGTCTACATATTTGCAGATTAGTTTACGCATTTGTGGATCTGTGTACGCATATTCAAATAGTTTTGCCACAATAATAGCGCCATACTCCGGGCACTATTTTGCAGGGGTCTTGCAGGAAAACGTCTGGATAAAGTCAGGGTGAAAACTTCAGCGGGCTGTGTTCACACATGCAGCTCACCCAAAAACTGTTTAAAACATGTTGACTGTATCCCGTCACAGTGAAAGTGGAAACATCCTGACCCCTGTACTCCCTCGTCCTGCACCTCCCCTCTCCTCTTTACTCCTCCTCCATGAATCTACACACCCATCTGCGCTCCATCGCTCCACACAGATAGCACAATCCATTCCCTGAGGTTTATGCCCTGTTATTAATGGCTTGGCACCCACACTTGGTCTGTTTCTTTGTTAGTCGGAGGGTTATTTAATGGAGTAATAAAATGTGCACGGTCACACAGATAGCCATCAGGTTCACTGGTACGCCTGGGGAAACATATCTGCCTCCATCTCTGCAGCTCTTACTCCTCATAAAGCAGAGCGCTCTCTCTTCTGACTCCAACGCCGCCGCCGTCTTCTGCCGCTTCTTTTTTTTTCTTTCTTACTTTCATTTCTCTCTCTGGCTCGCTCTGATTTCACTCTTTATTTATTATGGACATGAGGCAGAACAGAATTGCAAAATTAGTGCAGTACATCATAGATGAGTTACCTAATGTTAGCCCTATTTACCAAAGGCTGTTTGAGCTAATGTTTGTACTGTAGTCATTAGTATTTAGTTTGTTTGTATTGAAGACTGAAAGACTGATATCAAGTGGGTGGGTGTTTGGGGGGAATGTGTCATGTGTACGTAGTGGTAGTCCAATGATGACTGATGAATTTTATTTTGTTTATATGAAGGTTTTATGGATGTTTTTTGACATTCTCAGTATTTATTTCTTTAAAGGCTTTATATGTGATTTTTTGATCCAGCAGATGTCGCCCTTGAGCACCAGCATGAAACCAAAACAACTCGCGCTGCATTGTTGTGTTAGCATACTAATGCTAGCGATCTTTATTCTGCTCGTATCTTCACACTGCATGTAAATTAGAGAGAGGTGGTGCGAGATACCACTGTCAGATATTTAAAATTATTATAAATATAAATATTTAAAATAATATCCCTCATTATTTCAGCTGAATTGTTGTGGCAACACTAGACAAAAATAAATTGGTAGTTTGTCTAATGTCAGTATTTATTTTATTATTAGCTGCATAAATACAACAACATTATGAAATACATTCATCCAAATATAGCATATTTAAAATAAAACCAATTCAAATGTCACTTGGTTAACCTAACGAGCAGGACTTTGGACTGTGGGAGGAAGCTGGATACCCGGAGAGAAATGTGCCGAGTGACTTTAAGGTTTGTCTTAATGGAGGATCGTGCTTGTTCATCTTTTGTATTTGATTCCTTTTTATGAGTTTTTATAAGACTAGACTTTCTCTGGCCCCTTGTGGTCTCACCCCTGACAGGTATCACAATTTAAATATTAAAATGATTGATAGATAAACACTAGAATAATAACAACACAGTCAAACTAATAAACCAGCATTAAAAAAACTAAAAGTCAAAGATGAAATAAAAAATGGAAAAACCCGGACATTTTCAAATGATCGTAACCTTGCAGTGACTTCAGTGTGCGATATAATAAGTAGACAGTGATTGTGATTCTGGACACAGTCTGAGTTTCGTCTGTTCAGTTGTGTTGGATGGATAGTTTTCTGACAGTATTTATTCACTGAGGTGCCCGGACCGGCTGCTATGCATTAGTCTTTTTGTTTTATTCATCATGGCTGATCATTTCCCCTGATGGTCTGAAATATTAATACCAGGCTCTTGAACTGTGGGGCTGCTATGTTTGTTAACCACTATGTATGTGTGTGTGTGTGTGTGTGTGTGTGTGTGTGTGTGTGTGTGTGTGTGTGTGTGTGTGTGTGTGTGTGTGTGTGTGCTCTACAGAGAGAGAGAGAGTAGAGGAAAAAGGAGAAGGGCAGTGTTTAAAAAAAGGCCCTACAAGGTAGAATGTATAAAAGTAAAGAAAAAGAATCAAGGAGCAGAGATGGACAGTTTTTCTCTGCTCGTCATCGGGGGCGGGAGGAGTGCATCAAATATTAAGAAAGTCATGTTAACAGTGACGCAACGAGTCTCACTGAAGTAAAGGCTGCGCGTCTTTCTCTGTGTCATTCAGCCTTTTCTCTGTTTTCTTTCTGCTGTCAGTCTTTGTCTCCTTTGCTGTTTCTCTCTCTCGTTCTCACCTTCTCTCACTGTCTCTGAGCCCGCCTGTCCCTCTCTCTCTCTCCCTCTCTCCCTCACTGTCTTATAAATATGCATCATTTCATGGATAGACCGACGCCCGACTGTTCCAGGAAAGCCTTAAAAAAAAAGAAAAGAGGAGTGAAAAATAAAGCAGAGGAGGGCTTTTGGGATCTCTGTGGTGACCTCCTGGATGTATCCATGGAAACTGGACCAGCTTTAAAAAAGAAAGCATTATGGGATGCATGTGTAGGTGGAGCTTAAGTGACTGACTCCACCTACTCTTTGTTGCACAGAAATCCTACCTTAATTGCCCTCTGTGTTGCCATGGAAACAGAAACTCTTTCCAAGAATGCTGGTGTTTGTGGTGTGTGTGTGTGTGTTGTTTTCTTTACCATAGTGAATAGAGCTCACTCTCCCTATGTGAGTTTGTTACAGTACAATTGTTGATTTATAGACTTTATTTATATGTCACCTTTTAAAACCATTAAGTGGGGGCGCTGGTGGCTCAGTGGTTAGAGCGCACGCCCCATGTATGGAGGCTGTAGTCCTCCAACCTGTGGCTCCTTTCCCGCATGTCGTTCCCCACTCTCTCTCTCTCTCTCTCTCTCTCTCTCTCCCTGATTTCCGACTCTATCCACTGTCCTATCTCTCCAATAAAAGGCAGAAAATGCCCCCCCAAAAAACCCCCAAAACCCACAAAGTGCTTTACTAAACATAAGATCTCCAACAAATAAAATACACAACAAAGACATTTTTACCTTTCTTAGAAAATTAAATGCAAATGTGTGATAAAAATATATTTTTTGATGTGTGATATTTTCCTTTGTCCCTATAAGACAGAAGTTTATCGTCCCATTTTCATGGAGAACATTTCTTATTCCTCAAGATCCAAAACTTTACAAAGTGCCGAGGTGTTGGGTTACAATGGACCCAAGTTATGTGGGGATTATTAAAAAAGATGTCCACCCATTTAAGGGTTAACACACATCATTACAGGAACCGGACAAATTTAGATGACAAGGTTTTTACTGACATTTTGCTTTTATTGCTTTTCCTCGTTGGCAGGCTGCCTTCGAAGAGACACGGAAACCCCAGGTAACCGTGCCATAAAGCAAACCCTTCATTAATGTGAATTTCACTCTAAATGAGACCGTAAATCACAAAAACTAACCTCAGTTTATAGAGAAGGAGGTTTGAAAACCAGTAATCGAGACTGTTAACTCATTTAGAAAAAGTTTTCTTACGTCATCTTTTTCCCATGCGATCAGATTACAGAGGAGTCGCCCCCTGCTGGTGGTAAGACACAATGCCATTTTAAGGCACATCTTCAGTCGCTTTACTTTTAAAGACCAAGAGACTGTGTTCACTTTTAATCCACAGTAATGTCCATCATTACTTCACTAAAGGTGTTTTTAGCTGTGTGTACTCAAACATAGAGAAGGTGTAAGGCTGTGAAAACATTTAGCTTGTCATGAGAATTTTGTAAATAAATACGCGGACAAAATTCATGTTTTAGCTACGAAATATCAAAGTCCATTTTTCATGTGCAACAAGAAGGAGTGTTATTAATTCATTAGCATTATTTAATAAGATGTGTAACTATGGGGCTGTCTAATTATTACAATTTTTAAACGTGATTAATCGCAAAATTTAAACAGTCAATCATGATAAATCACATTTTTTAATCGCATGTTTGAAATTCCATTATTTCGCATTTCAAAATAAAAATACTTGGGCTTTTATTTTGAAGTCTCGTACTGTCTCGAGCTGAGATCGGCCCATGAAGGGACAAAACAGCATGTGATTAATGGTGATTAAAAACAATGTAACGCTTTAATGTCAGACCTTAATTAATTATGATCAACGAGTTCATGCTGACAGCCCGATCATTAACATATTAATTACAAATTAAAAAAAGGTTGCATTGATATGTAACAATCTTTTTTTTAAATAATAATTAGATGTCTGCTCTTTTATTTGTCTAATTAAACGTTTTATTTCCCTTATACCTAATATATCATTTTCACTATATTATCATTATGTATCTATTTATTTTAAAGAATATTTTATGACTTTTTTTCTGTCTTATTATAGGATTATTATTTTATCCATTGTTGCCACTTTCTGCTTTTATTTATTAAAATGAGTTTGGAAACAAATGTTGACAATCTAATATGATCACTTAATATTCTTATATTTTTGTGTAGTCTCCATGTTGTCTCCGTGGTAACAGAATCCTCTTTGTTGTACAGACTGTGTCCACACACACACTCACTCCTGCTCTGAACCCAGCTCTCCTCTCTGGCCTCTCCAGGTGCTCCATTAAGAAGCTGTTTGCCTGAGCTGATCGGGACCCAGAGATGGGTTGTAAAAAAACAAAAAAGCACAAAAAAGAAAAAAGAAAAAAAAGCACAGCAGCCAAATGACTCCGCAGAGATTGTTTAGCTCTGCTTTGCTGCCAGTGTTTTTCAGCGGACTGTGTCAGCAGCGTAAAACAGTCAAGGCTGCAGCCCAAAGACCAAAGCAGACATTTCATTCTCCTTTATCCGACACAAGTGGGCACTGAATCAGTTTAGGGAGAAAAGGTCTGAACGTGCAGCGTGTGTGTGTGTGTGTGTGTGTGTGTGTGTGTGTGTGTGTGTGTGTGTGTGTGTGTGTGTGTTAAGCCTTCCCATGTGACACAAATACACACAGAGAAAAAAAAGACAAACAAAGCTGAAGATCTGAATGAAGCTTCCTGTAAGTCTCTGTCAGATTCATTGTGTAACGGGGGATTCAGTGACGTCACCACAGCCCACTCACACACTCACACACACACACACACACACACACACACACACACACACACACGAGCATAAGGTGGGTGTGAGGGGTGAGAGAGAGAGAGAGGGTTGGGGGGGGTACAATTCCTCTATGAGTCATCTCTGCTCTTCTCTGACGCAAGAACATGACTGGATCCCCGTACCCCCCCCCCACACACACACACACACACACACACACACACACACGGCTGTGTTTTACCTCCCATCATCCTGTACCTCTCTTCTGCTCTGCTGTTTTTTATCCCCCGTCTGTCTACCTCCCCGTCCTTTTCTGTCATTCCTCGCTGTTTTCCTCCCGTCTCCTATTTCCTGCTCTGTGGTCGTCTAAAGCTGCAGAATGTGTTTGTGTTTTGTTATTGACTATCCTGTGCAGCTCCTCTCCACCTCAGCATGTGTACATCTCTTTATCCTCGCCGCCGCCCTCCCTCCCATGCCTCCGTCTCCCACACCTCCATCTCTCCCCCCCCTCTCTCTTCCTCTCTTCCTCTCGTACCGCCTCAGCATACTAAACAGAAGTTCCCTGATTACTTTTCTTCCTGAGAAAACGCTGGATACAACTCTGAGGCTCGCCGCCACTGCCTTCTGCCGTCACCATGACTACAGCCTCGGCGCTTAGTGTTATTGAGGAGGATGAAAGGAAGAGGAGAGGAGGAGGAGGAGGAGGAGGAGGAGGCTCTTTCCCTCCTTTCATCTCCTCGCCGCCGCCCTCCCTCCCATGCCTCCGTCTCCCACACCTCCATCTCTCCCCCCCTCTCTCTTCCTCTCTTCCTCTCGTACCGCCTCAGCATACTAAACAGAAGTTCCCTGATTACTTTTCTTCCTGAGAAAACGCTGGATACAACTCTGAGGCTCGCCGCCACTGCCTTCTGCCGTCACCATGACTACAGCCTCGGCGCTTAGTGTTATTGAGGAGGGATGAAAGGAAGAGGAGAGGAGGAGGAGGAGGAGGAGGAGGAGGAGAAGGAGGAGCGGGAGCTGTATATCACACAGATATAGTGCAAAAGAAAGAAAGCCACAGAGGAGAGACTTTTAATCGTTTTGTTCATCTTTAAATTTGATGCCAAACGTGACCAACACGGCTAGATGATGTCATTCTCAACAGAGCAGACGAGATATTAACATTTCTAACTTGTGTTTTTGCCGTTTGTACCATTGTGGCTTGGCTCTGGGTTAATTAAAAAAAATTATTTATATAAAAATATTATTTCTTATTTTGGGAAGCTCTGGAAATGTTCAAACCTTCATATTTTCTGTAACATTTCTCAACGTCATGGTCAAGATTTGCACGTGTCAGAAATCGAGGTTATGTCTCGTCAAATGGGCGCTCCTTCTTTCTTTCACTCTTTCATTTCTTTTTTCCCTCTCTCCTCCTCCTCCTCCCCCGAGGTCTCTGTCACTCGAGTCAGTTTGTCACGGTGAAGAGGAGCGCGGGCAGGAAAAAAATGGACAGTCACTCTCGATCAATCAGTACGATTTATTGGATTTCTGCCTTTAGGAAAGGTGACAGATTGCTCTACAGAGGGAATAAAACACACACACAGTCAGTCTCTCGCACCCCAGGGTTTTCCTGACACCCACAGCGGAGCTGCTAAATGTCCTCACAATACACACACACACACACACACACACACACACACACACACACACACACACACACACACACAGTCACTTGCATTCAAACTCCTACACATATTTTTCTTTTGTGAATGTGACTCTGTATTTTCTACCTTTTCTTTTTGCACAGTGGCCCTTTCTACATCAGCCTCCACTACGTGTGTGTGTGTGTGTGTGTGTGTGTGTGTGTGTGTGTGTGTGTGTGTGTGTGTGTGTGTGTGTGTGTGTGTGTGTGTGTGTGTGTGTGTGTGTGGTGTGTGTTACATCCTGTTGATCTGCACGTTCTGCAGCTTAATTAGTTCTTCTGAAAGCAGTACCTTCTGTATACGTCCTTCAATATGTGTTCACTACATACAGTAGTGCTGTACAGTCAGCATTAGATATTAAAGAGCAAAGGAGCTCATATCAGTGTCAAATATATCTGATCTATAGATACATACTAGGGCTGGGTGATATGACCTCAAATCAATATCACGATTAATTGAACATTTTACCTCAATTACAATTAATAAACGATTTTTTGTTTTTTCACCCTTATAGTTCACTGACATGGTCTCTACTGTAAATACGCTCAACTATTAAAGCTGGGATCTGTTTTCTAATGAAAGAGTGCATATCTGATATTTATTGAATATTTCAAAGCACTGCTTGACACATTTGAAAGTAGAAAGTAGAAATTAACTTCTCTGAAACATTAGAAAATAAATAACTAAAAGCAATTTTTCCGCAGTGTTTACATTTGATTTCTTTTTGTTCTGTGTCGTCTTCCCTAAAGACAAAATGTGTCCAAATGACATATATATATATATATATATACAGAAACATATTTTTGTATGTTGTGTTTTGGAGTGACTGACAAATCAAAATATCTGTTTTGTAATGTAATTTTTTAAAGAAATAACCTGACTTTGTGCCATTTTTACCGTATAATGTTTTACTGAGTGGTTTGATACTTTTGATGATTTAATTTCTTTGAATAATCCACCTTGAGGATTATGTCACGTAGTTTTGTAATATGTTGTTTTTATGTGATAGACTGTTTGCAAAGATTTGTTGTCCTTAATTTCCCTTCCTGCCTGGTAGACCACAGATGTGAATTAGCTTTATCGCTAACTCCGACCCGACTGTTATGTTGTGCATGGCCCCCGTCAGAATAAACCAGTAAACTGAAACTAAACAAATTTTAATCAGAACAGTTTATGATGCTTCTCATGCTGCTGGACTCAAATTTTAAAATGTAAATACTGTCAAATGATGAATATATGATGGCCTCAGTGGTAGAAATGTTCTCCAGCATTGCTCCAAACAAACAGATTATTTCACACACCGTCTGAGCTAGCTATCCTCCCCCTGAGTTCATGTAATTATGTACATTATGGCATCACAGTGAGCTCCACACAGCTACGTGTATGTTTAACTTCACTGCACTGCACTCTGTTTAATTGACCTACCGCAGCACGCTTCTTATCCTAAGTCTGCCGAGTCCTTCAGCCATGCCCATGCAGGGGAGGAGCAGAGAGGCTACCCATGCAGCAGGGAGGAGGGAGGCTTGAAAAAAGGGGCCAGAAAAGATATCGACACATACACCTACCCTGTAGTAGTCAGTGCTGTAGACGTCTCTGGACATGCCAAAGTCTCCGATCTTTACCAGCAGGTTCTCCCCCACCAGGCAGTTCCTGTTTGGCAAACGAAAAGTATAAATGCAGGTTATTTAATAAAGATTCTATCTGTAGCCTTAAACACACTGTGGAGTTATTAACCGCTCCCACATGCAGGATATTATCCCACTGGCGTTTAGATGTTTGCATAAAATGTAGCATGAAACTTAAATAAAGTTTAGTTCAGTGAAGAAATCACCCTTTGCATTTTTTGTTTCAAGGATGCAGGAAGCTTCTTTATATTTATGATAAAGAATTCTAAAGATAAGAAAATAAAGAAATGACACAGATTAATAATATCCTTTAAAATCAGTGAATAGTTACAGTATTCCTGTATTCACTCGTACACCAAACTCTTGAAAATAGCTGCATGTGTGAATGCACACGGGCGATCTTTCCCCTAAACTCATCTCCTCACCCCTCTCGCTCTGGATCCATTATCCTGTCTTTCACCACCTGCGCTGACACATCTGCTCAACCCTTGCAAAAAAAAACTTCACGAGAAAGCCTGGCAGGAAAAGGTCGACATGCAATCGGGGTGAAAGTGGCGGGACATTTTGTGGAGTTAAGTGCACGTGTGAATGCGGCTTAAGGGGAGTGTAGTGACAGAGAGAGTGACAAACCTGGTGGCCAGGTCACGATGCACAAAGTGCTGTGAGGCCAGGTAGACCATGCCGGATGCTATCTGCTGGGCGATGTGCAGCATTTGAGACTGAGTCAGCTCCACGGGTCTGGTGGTCTGACCCTCTGACATCAGAACCGCATCTGGACCGTGAGCCCTGGGAGGGAAAAGGGTTTATCATGAGGTGGAGTCGGGCTCGTTGTTGTCCATTTAACACATTGTGTATGTATGTATTTTAATATAACAGCAGTCGTTTGAATGAAATTGACCTGAGGATCTGTACCTGAGGAACTTGTTGAGGTCTCCGTGTTTCATGTACTCAAACACCATGATAAGAGGGTCGCTCTCCACACACACGCCGTAGAAAGTAACAATGTGTTCATGTTGAAGGTTGGTGAGCAGCTCAGCCTCCCGGTGGAAATCCTTCCTGGCATTTTCACTGGCCTCTTTAAGTGTCTGCACACACACACACACACACACACACAGAGAGAGAAGTGACATTTTCATACACTGACAAATTAAAAACTCACACATTACGCCTCGTACACTATTTCCAATTAGTCATGTTCACGGTGTACTCAGTCTGCTCCAATTTCTCTGGCTGATGTCCAAACTCAAATGTAAGTGTCTTGCCTTGTAAAAAGTGAGTTACAGCAACTCAACACAGTGAAATTACAGGGCGCAGAGCACGGGCGCAATACAATGGCATTGCGGGTGGGGGGGGAAGGAGTCGTTTTATATTAATGTAAGTCATTACGAGGTCCAACTCTGTTTACATTCATTATATTCCCCGGTTCCCTTTGCAACTCATCTTGATCTGCCTTACATGAATCAGGAAACCTGTCAGGGATGTTGTGTAACACAAGTGACTGTGACAGAGTGAGCGAGAGAGAGAGAGAGAGAGAGAGAGAGAGAGAGGAGGAGACGCAGGAAATGAAATTGATATGGGATCTCAATTTATTTCACATCAAAGAAGGAGAAATATAGAAAATTCCTCTTGTCCTACATGAATAATTGATTGTCTTCCTACAATGTATGATATGGATATACATTCACTTTCCACTCTGTGTGTGTGTGTGTGTGTGTGTGTGTGTGTGTGTGTGTGTGCGTGTGTGTGTGTGTGCGCTAACATCTCAGATAGAAGCTCGTGTTACAAATAAAGGTTTATAGGACGAGGAGAAGAAAGCTCAAGGAAGGAGGAAATGACTCGCGACCTCTCGGCCTGAACGCTGAGATACCAGAAAACGAGACAGTAACTCCACCCAGCCCGCATTTAAGTAATCGTGCATCATGAAAAAAACCGAGGCTCGGCTCATGTACATTACAGTAAGTAATGTGATATAACATGATGATTATGGGGGCTGATTTGTACAGTACGGATACAGCGCTCCAATCTCAGTTTGAAACGTGATCTCAGACATGTATGGGAAATCTGCGTTGGCTGACTGGGTTGAATTCTTCTCCTTATGAGAGTGTCTTTGTTTCCCCTCTCAGTTTTTATACTTTGTGTTGCTGAATGTGTCATTTGTTTGATTTTTTGAGTAAGAGAATATCCTGCACCTTTTGCACATTTTGTCATTTTTACTTTATAATGCTTTTCATAATTCCTTTTGTGTTTAAACGTACCTGGCAAGAAACCTGATTCTCAATGAATCATATGTAGCTTGCACTGTGTGCTCCCAGTGAAAGGAGACATGGGATACAACATTTGAGTGAAGAACAGAAATCAGTCTTTCTGTCAGACACACGTGCTGCTCCACTGACTTCCTGAACTTTCCAATATATCAGACAAATATTCCTCATGTGGAGGTAAAACCTGAATAATGTTGAACAGCCTCTGACATCTACATATGATCCATTTCCTGTATCTGCATACTACTCAAAGTTGGATTCATTTTCGGGGTAACAGTCATAGCGTTGCACTGTTCGTCATCCAGTCCGCACACATTCTGGTCCCAGGACAAATAAAAAGCAATCAACAACCTCTAGCTCAGGAAGCAGCAACTCACATTTACATGTGTGAAGGTAACGTTATTACCGAGCTGGGTGCTGATGATTGATGGCATGCAGGACGATGCATGCATATTTCTGTGTGTGTGTGTGTGTGCACGTGTTCCTGTGATCGATGAGGCCTCAGAGTATGAGGTACAGTAACAGTAAAACTCGTTCCTGTATTATGGCTGACGGGCTGATTGATAGCCGACTCTAAAACCAGAACCATTAAGCTCGATTAGTGACTGTAGCTTATTGTAATGAGCTATACACGGAGAGAACATGTTTCTGTTATATACCATGCATGACAGAGTGCAACATAAGTGCAAGATGTACAGGAGGAGGGGAGGTGATGATTAAAGGAAAATCAACCTCAAAATACAAATCACCACATTGTTGAAGAGTGGAGAAGCCAGCTGTGATGATGATGTAATGAACTGACACATCTTAGCTCTATACTCCACGTTTATTGTTTAGGTTTTCTCCATCAGACTGTCGCGCAGATTTTAAGCAAACTTCCACAGAGTTAGCAAAGGACGCTAAGAAAATGCAAATCAGTGTGCAATATAATTTATAACAAGAGAAAACCCGCTAATGGTTTAAAGGGGACATATTGTGAACATATTTGGGTAACCTGAGTGTCTACTGACCCACAACATGTGAAATAAACCCATCCAGTCCTTTGTTTGTGGTCTGCATAAGTTTAACAACACAGAGAAAAATGCTCTGTTTCAAATGTGCTCTCCTTGTGATGTCACAGTGGGATTCTGGTATAATCAAATCCCCTGGTATTCCACCCATGGACTCCACCCCCAGCCTAGAGCAAAACTTTTGCACAGGTCTGCCATTTTTATTCTCGCTACAGAGGAGTGATGTCTACGGGGAAAACTCAGGGGGGGCTCATTACATTTAAAGAGACACACACACCAAAACGGAGCGTTCTGAGAGAGCTGGTTTATACAGGGTCACAAACCTCCTCTGGGCCTGATTCATGTTATATTTTGACCAAAGCACAGCACAGATGTTTCATTTAGACAACAGGGGGACTGTTTGAAAGGTGGGAAAAGGGGTTTAAAATGTCCTCTTTAATGAAAGTGAGCTATTGTGGCTTTTAAAGTTTACTCAACTACAAAACCCATTGATATCACTCTAAATCAATAATTTGGGATTTTTCTGGTGCATCTAATATCAGTTTAACATCATCACTTCCCAGTGGTGGAATTGTCATTATTTTGCACTTCCACTTTGGCTTCATTTTTCAAAACCGGAGCTTTCCGCTTGGGTAGCGTGCATACACTCTATGCACCGAACACTGGTTCTTGCAGCGGAAAAAACACCAGGGGTCTGGCAGGAGAAACTCCAGGTTAAGTCAGAGTGAAAAATGTGTCTGTTCGTGTTCACATATACAGCTCCTCCTGGAAATAGTTTTGTGTAGTGTGAAAGCTTTATTTGATAGCATTTCTATGGGCCAATAGAAATGAGAGAGAGTTGTTGTTAACTGTCATGTTTTCAAACTCAAACCTCATTATTACCAGTTATCTTTTAACTGCTGTACTTTTGTAAAGAAAGTCCATCCTCGTTTGCTTTTTATATTTTGGATGAATTGGCCCTTTAAATTAGGAGAAGCGGTGAAGGCAATTTCATAATTCATTAGAAAAATCTGTCTCCCCACCAGCTTTCATCACATCGGCCTCTTTGTTGATGCAGCACCGAGGAGGAAGAAAAGACAACTGGAGAGAAATGGTGAGTCATGTTGTTGTCGTCAGTTTACAAAAAAAAAACAAGGCCGGGGAGAGCAGGAAGAGTGTACTATAAGCAGGTGGTACATTAGCTAATTGAAAAGGAGGATAGAAATCCAATTGAGAGAGTTAAATCAATGAAATGACTGTAATGATTACGTGATTTATCTACACGCTGTTTTGGGGAAACACATTTTATTTTGAGTGTAAGTTGAGTGCTGATTATGAAATGTTTGACCAGATTTGATGTGCGGGAAAGCGATGCAGCGTCTTGTTTTACAACCAAGAACTCTGCTTCCGGGGATTTTTCCAGGTGCATATTTTACCGAGTGCTCACGCTGAGCTGAGGCTAAGCTGGCAGCAAACATCAGCGGGGCCAGCGAGAGGTTTAGAGCTAAGCTGCAGAGAGAGAAAGACAGGAGGTGTAAGGAGGGAAGAGAAAAAGGAGGTGGAGGAGGAAAGTAGCAGGAGTGAGGGACCGCAGAGGAGAGAGAGAGAGAGAGAGGGAAAAAGTGCAGGTGAGAGTTAGAGGTGAAGTGCTGAAGACGGAGGAAGTGGAGGGGTAAAGGAAGGAGATGTGGGGAGGGGGGTCTCTCACTGGTCATGTATTGTTAATGAGAAGTTCTTCACCAATCAGATCCTGTTTCACCGCAGACCAGCAGAGAAAAGTGTGCTCGATGGAGAGATGGAGGATGCTCTCAGGGAAAACGTTCAATCTCACCCAGGAAGTCGTGCGGTTTGAGTGTAATTCCATCTTTCGCTCCGAGAGAAACTCTCGAAAAGGAGCGACATTTCGAACGGAGGTCGGCATGGCGATACAGGCCGTGTGAAGGATTTTCTTCAGAAATGCCACAAATCCATCACAGACCATACTATTATCTGTAAACGTCTCAGATCTCAGCAAAAAGAGCAACTTCACCTTCAGCTACGACGCTACAGGCCTTATTTTTGTGCCAACATTTATTTTGAAGGCAGATGGATTTTCAAAATAAACCGTATACCATTTTCACTCCTCATAAGTTGAGTTTCTTTCTTTGTAGGGCACGCTGGATGAGACCTGTTTTCCTTTCGTGCACAGTCTGCTCGTCTGGGTCTGGTGTTGGGTTAGTGATAGCTGCATCATTTGTGTGTTTTAAGAAGTTAGCAGGAATGGTAGCAGACAATTTTTCTTGCATCATCCTATAACTTACATTGTTGTAAATTTTAAAGGACAATAGAAAATACATAATAATACATTGTTAAGGTCTTGGATTCTCTGGTGTTTTAAAATGTATAATCCATCTATAGCCTCAGTAGAAGACATCTCTACCAGCTCGTGACTTATTGACTCTGGCAGACGCGTCTCCTCCTCCTCCTCCTCCTCCGGTTTAGATATATTTCCATTGGATCTGATTCAGCTCGGGCCAACCACAAGCTGTTTATTTAACATGGGGCGGTTCAATGTGATGACTGACGGAGGACAGCCCTTCAGGCCTTTTTGTTTCTCAAAGCTCTTGTGAGGAAGTTTTTAACCGGTTATGAAACAGACTGACATGAATACTGATGCCTCTTTATGGTCTTTACAAGCCAACAAAACCAGCAACAACAAGACTGATGATTTCTACAGAGTTATTCTAAATGCATAAAGCTGCTGCGACAGGGAAGGTTTAACATACGCAGATAGACAAAAGCAGCCTGTTTTTACATTTTCCATGTGCACGGATTATTGATGACTTCTGTGCTTTATCATTTACAGTAAGAATACAGCAGAATGTGATTTTTCTTCAGGAATCACAGCCTTTTCTATGTTCCCTCAGATTCTAACTTGCCTCGTCTGTGCCTCCTGCTCGTTCAGTCGAGTCGAAATTTTTCAACTTGAGCAAATAATTTGCGAGATTTTGCATGAGACACGGACGGAGAATGATGCGGAGGAAGTGCCCCATCAGGAGCAATTCAGGGTTAAGTGTCTTGCCTAATGACAAATCGGATATGTTTCTACAGGAGCTGAACCCCCAACCCTCTGGTTGAGAGACGACCGACTCTACCACTGAGCCATAGCCTTCCCTGAAGTGGATGGTCTTGGGTGCAACAACACATTATGTGTATTATATAAGGGAATGTAGGCCTGAGGAAACATAGGGATGACCCCCAGATCAAGATAAGCAAAGAGATAAATTCAATACTTTACCAAAATTGACTCAGAATTAAAGTTCCTCAAAGAAGCCCTAAACATCCGACATGGCTATTTAATGTTTTTAATCTGACCTTTTGTCAATGTTAAATGAACTGGGAAATGCCATGCCAATCCTGTCTGTTGTGTTCATTTGGAAAACATATAAATGTGATACTGAGACTAGCTCTGAACTCTAGCTGTATACTGTCACATGATTCCTTTGTCTAATTTGTTTGAGTGTCCAGGAGAGTTTCGTTTTTGCAAAGTCTGTCCTGCGTTGTTGATCTAAGTTTAACATGTCGCCTGAAAAGCGAACACTTTGTCCTCCTCACTCGTGCACGTCTGAATGTTTCTGGTACGTTCACATCCGGCTGCCCCTGAGATCTTCTTTGCCTCATGCTGAGACGCTGAGGGAATCACAGCGTAATGTTGACATTACAGCCAAGATGGCAGACGAAGCAACAGAGTTGGATACTATGATGACATTTTTTTTTTTTTTTTTTACTTTCTATCATTGCTACGTGTAACTGGACATGTTTACATCGAGGAATGAGGGAAAAAAAAAGATACTGGCAAGAAGAAGAAGTATGGCTTCAGTATGTGCACAAAGATCACAATGGTCGTGCAACAGTCAGAGGATTCTCGACCTTTTGCAGAAGTTTTACTCGGGTTACTTCAGGTGTTTGTGTTCCCCCTACCTTGGAAAGTTCTGGATTTTGTGCATGTGTTTAATCTGCTAAAGTCAAACCTGATCTGCTGTTTCCTGATCTCAGATGATTAGCTCATCGAATTCTAACTTGTACGTTCAGTTCTTTATCACAGGACCTTTAACTTTTGAACCAAACAAACTTGTGCAATGTGTCATTCGGTAAATTATTAAGATCTTAGATTACCTTGACAGCCACCAGTATCTTCTCCTGGTCCGGTGAGAGGTTGTAACATTCAGCGAGGAAGACTTTCCCGAAGGCTCCCTCTCCCAGCTCCCTCTTCAGCACGATGTTGTGTCTCTTTATGTGCTGGACGACTGTGGATGAGAAAGAATACACGGTCAGAAATATGTCTGCTGGAGGAGTAGATTTCTGTCCCTGCAGGCAAAATCTTAATTCATAAGCACCCAAGGGCTAATTAATGAATCTCAAGGTGAGTTTTTAAAATCTTTTAGGACTAAAAAGCTTCATTTTTGTCTCCCAGAACTCAAATTTTTGTACCTTTTTTCCCCTTAAAGACTGAATATGTGATTTTTCACACTTAAATATAATATAAATCAAGTATATCCTCTGAAAATAACTCTGTGAGTCATGACTGTCTACAATGGGTGTAACACCCGAGTCCCACTGTCTGTGATGTTTTCAGAGTTTTCAGAGTCCTATCTTCAGTTTGTTTACATCGCCCGGACGGCCGGTTGACTCCTCCCCTCACGTATAAAAGTTGTTTAATTGAGGGACTAGAGAAAAGAAGAATAACATACTGTACTCACTGCTTAACTGTGTTTCTAGATCACGCTCATTTCAGGTAAATTTACATGCAGTGTGAAGATACCAGCATAATAAAGATCACTAGCATTAGCATGCTAACACAACAATGCAGCGCGAGTTGTTTTGGTTTCATGCTGGTGCTCAAGGGCGACATCTGCTGGATCTAAAAATCACATATAAAGCCTTTAAATATAAAGATACATTACCAGAAGACAGTGTCAGGTAGGCCAACATTTTTAAAAGCGTTTCTACTCAGATATAAAGGCTTGATTCAGTATCGGTTTAAAGTCCATTTGTAAGAAATGGTTCATGTTTGGTAAAGAAATGTGTCAAATAAAAAAAAAGGAAAAACATATAAACATCTGTTTTTGACTGATTCCTTTTGGGTTATAAAGTGCAGAGCAGACTCTCAGAGTGGATGTTTCACAGCAGAACTTTGCCCTGGGTATGAATAAACAGGTTTACATTTCTGAGAGCATACAGTCTCTCTGTCCGTCTCCTTGGTCTCTCTTTTTGGTTTGAGGTATTTATTGAGCTGTACCAGTGTTTCCCTTTGTGTTTCTGTTGCGATTTCACCAAATTACTTAAAATACTTATTATAAAATTGTGCATTGTGCATATTTAAACTCAATATTTCATGTAAATTTTGTACTCATAAAAAGAAAAACAGCCAAGAATCTCTTGACAGTTAGTTAGCTCAACCTGCAGCTATGTTTTTATCTAATAAAGAACATTCTAGAAGCGTGGGATTTTTCTGTTTTTTAAATGATTTTTTTGTTACTCACGATCCAGATACTCGTACAGCTCGCTGTCCGGGGGCTAATTTTCCGCCTCTTCCAATTTTGTTGTATTATAATTTCCAATGTGAGTTCAAGTCGCAGAGGGAGAATCATAACTGTATTTACTAGAGTTTGTTCAGAGGATATTTTTCTGTTGAGTAAAGATTTTTTTCTGTACGTCATGTGGATGCTGCAGTGAAGATGCTAAATCTCTGTTTTGACATATTGGATTTGGTTTTTAGTACAGTGTAAATAAAAATAAAAACATGTTTCAGTGTCTGTTTCATGTGATCCCTCTCTGCCTTCTGCTCACACACAGTTGGATCAGAGTCGGGAAAACCTGCTTTCTGTTGCTAAGTAACTTCTGACTCTGTGCCAGACGATTTTTTTGGGGGGGGGAGCGGAAAAATTTGGCATCTCACCTTGACTGTGATACAAGGAATTTATTTTACAGAATGATACACAGCACGGTGCCCTCAGTGTGACCCAGCTGAGCCCCGACTTCACTGCAGACGAGCTGTGCAACTGTCCGCATGTAAGGAAAAACACATTATCCTCTAACAAAGCAGAGGGGTAACACACACACACACACACACACACACACACACACAGATAGAGAGAGAGAGAGAGAGAGAGAGAGGACAGCACGAGCTGAGATTTATCTGTGATGTGATTAAGAGGCGCATTTGAAGAAAAGCTGTCCACTCAGAATATCACATTAAAGGCCAGCTAGACTCTCAGAAGCTGCATCGATCTACACTGTAAGCTACCGGGGTCCTCCATAACCCAATACTGTACAGACCGAGAGAGAGAGAGAGAGAGAGAGAGAGAGAGAGAGAGAGAGAGAGAGGACAAAAGAGGAGAGGGGAATAAGAGTGATTGTGGTGCAGGAGAACACACCAACAATGTAAAATGTACCCAAGTGTGTGTGTGTGTGCTTCAGTAGGCTTTGCACACTTACAGTAAAGCAGAACACAGTACCTACTTAAATACAGTTTTTGTTTTAATTGAGGTGTAACCCACATCTGACTCTCTGACATCTTATTTAGCCACATAAAAGTGATTCAATATTGTGCCATAAGTCGTGCATTAACCAGTCAATGTTACTGTCCAAAATGTTGCTCAAAACAAAAAAGAAATGCAGTTTGTGTCGTTACAGTATCTACAGTTTGGGTAATCTGGGATCTGCAGGACTTGGATTTACTGTACTTGTGCAAAGAGGCTACCAGTGTGAGCTAGTATAAACTAAAACTACGTTCAATTGATTTTCTCCTCATTTCTAAGTTGTAAATGTTATTAAAACCTAATCTCATATGTGTACCTGAAAGCAGCTTCCATGTGGAGTCCTTTGTGAAGATTTACAGGGGGGAGCTGTTGAGTTATTTTGCAGCACCCACGCGTGAGATAAGATAACGCACTGTGTTTATTCTGACATATCCTCCGTTCTGAACTTGGAGAGAACGGAGGTCCGTTTGCAAACGCCTGAATTAAACAATCAGAAAGACAACTGTTGGCTCCGTGTTGTACTAAACACACATTTCCAGAACAAGAGCCACACATGCAGAGACCCCAATGTAGATCTCTGCATGTATGGCTCCCTTCCCTCCTGTCCCCAACTGCAGCCGAGTCGCCTCTCGACTCTGTTACAGATGTTTTGAAGAGACTGGACGACGTGCAGGATGTTGGCGACTTCTGTTTCATCTCTTGGTGTTTTTTTTTTTGATGAAAGTTAACCGAGCTTTGGGCTCATGTTAAAGCCACAAAATATATGATTTATGTTTGACCGGGAAGAATGTAGGAAGACGACTTATAATCAAGAACAAACTTAGTTGGGGCGCCTGTGGCTCCTTTCCCACATGTCATTCCCCACTCTTTCTCTCTCTCTGATTTCCGACTCTATCCGCTGTCCTATCTCTCCATTAAAGGCTCAAAAAGTCCAAAAATAACCCTTAAAAGGAACAAACTTAGTAAATACATGCATCCTCTCAACATGTTAGTTTTCAGGTCCCTTAAAAAAAAAGACAAGTCGAGCATGAAGAGTTATTTCTGTAATGGCTGTCTCGTTTTCCTTCATGACGTGATCGTCTTCAGTTCAACAGCTCGATGCATCATCATCATCCCCGTGCAGCAGCAGCAGCAGCAGCAGCAGCAGCAGCAGCAGCAGGAGAAGCACATTAAACCCACATCCCTTCAAAAACAACTACCCACCGTTTAACCAGCTAATAACCTCACCGCACTATTTCCTAATGTGGTTGTGTAATAAGCATTCACCCATGTAAACCCCTGGCACCGCTTCTCCTTAATCACACCCTCAAATAGCAAATAAATTGATGTGTGTGGATACCAGCGCTTCCACTTTTCCCCCTCCGAGGCAGGAAGAGTTGCTGTTCTCTTTCTCTCTCGCTCTCTTTTTCTTTAATATTGGTCTTTATTGCAGATTTATAACGTGTCTGATTTTGCATTCATGTATTCAAAAAGTTGAATGATTGCTGCACGGAGCAATCAAGAACTTTTCAAATGGACTTTTTTTTTGATGGTCTCATTGCTCATGAATTCTGCTTTTTCAGCTGTCACACTTTACCAATTTGACACTCCTTCTTCCCCTCCTGCTTTCATTATTCCTCCGTCAGTATCCTTAATTAAGATCTACAGAAATATTATTCCCCATTTACCAAACTTTAAACTCTTATTCTCTGATGTTTTTCTTAATTAGCAGCCCTTCTCCGTGCTTATCATAAGCGCTCATTTTCCCCTCGTTTAGCATCGCTCCATCCAGCCTCATTATCTCCGTCTCACATTCCTTATTCTGCATCGCTCTGTTCCATCATTTATTCCTCCCTGTTGCCGTTCCCCCTCAGCTGCTAAACCTATCACTTTTTAATCAACATCTTCTAAACATTAACATCGCAGCACATGTTCCTCCCCATTCTGTTACTACATCAGTCTTTTTTTTTCTCTCTCTCTCTCTCTCTCTTCTCATCGCTTGTTTATGACACAACATTAGCATCAGGAGGAATAATATTTCCCATCAGCCACCTCCTTCTCCGAGATATTTTCCTGCGTCCTGCAGTCCCTCCACCTTCTCCCTGCAGATCCACCTCTTACACCTCTGCTCATTAATCAACATCTCATAAACAACCAAAAGAAATTAACGCCTCTGGGACATAACTCCCTGTTTGCCACCTGACTCTTTTGCCATTTCTCTTTCTCTCCGCTGCCCAAAATCCTCACATGATGTCGGATTCTGACGAAAACAGAAGAGCTGGGTATCGTCCAAAACCTCACAATTCGATTCCATATTGATTCCATATTGATTTAATATTACACATAGATTAGAGAAATACCCAGATAACTACTCCCTGTACCTTCTTATGTTTGTTAAATAATTATGTGTTTGTATTTCTTTAAAACAAACTGACTCAAAATGTATTTTATCGTCGCATTATTCTTCAATAAACAAAAAATAAAACATGAAAGTACAGTATGATGCAAAATTGTGCCTGACCTGAATTCACAGCACCCACAGCGCCCCCAGTGGATAGGGGTGTCATTACAACAACAACAAAAAATAATAATTGGGAAAATAATAAATTGCAATGCTTTACATTTTAAGCAGCACTAAAAAGCAGCCTGAAAAGCTTTGAACTGGTTTTTGTTTGGAAGCTGAAACAGAGCATAAACGCCCGTAAGCTATTCATGTCACCACTCTGATTACTCCTTTTCTTAACCGCTACACCTCCCAACTATAAGCCTCGCTATCACCAGCTAAT